ACTGGGGATGCCACTGAGCAAACTGGGGATGCCACTGAGTAAACTGGGGATGCCACTGAGCAAACTGGGGATGCCACTGAGCAAACTGGGGATGCCACTGAGCAAACTGGGGATGTCACTGAGCAAACTGGGGATGCCACTGAGCAAACTGGGGATGTCACTGAGCAAACTGGGGATGTCACTGAGCAAATTGGGGATGTCACTGAGCAAACTGGGGATGCCACTGAGCAAACTGGGGATGCCACTGAGCAAACTGGGGATGCCACTGAGCAAACTGGGGATGTCACTGAACAAACTGGGGGGCCACTGAGCAAACTGGGGATATTAGTGTTTTGCTCTCATTTGTGAAGAAATATTTTTCTCTTCTTAGTGATAAAACCATAGCATTGGGTGGAACTCATCAGTACCATGATTGGCGAACTACAAATGATGAAGAAGACTGTAAGCGTATTTTTGAAGAATGTTGTAAATTAGTGCCAAGTTTGCGAGTAAGTAATTACCCGATATCAACAGCAAGTTTCTTACTAATTTGGTAAAATAGATAAAAATCAAATACTGTTCATTTGCTGAACTGTAGTAAAAAAAAAATAGACTGTTTACATTGATTTCATATGGTGATCACTTTGAATGTCAAAATTTAGACTAGTTTATCCCATGATTCAATATTTTTTTGTAAGAAGGGATAAAGTTCTTGGTCCCCATGATTGTAAATCAAGAAAAATCAAATTTCAATTTCCAGTAAAATTTAAGTACATGTAATCTAATTTGAGGAGAGAATTACATACTATTCCATGAATGCATAAATAGCTTTAATGGAAAATTTATAAAATATTCATAAAACATTTACTCGGAAATCTGTGTGCTTCATTCAAATCCAAAGATGCTTTCATTGGCTATAGAAGCGATTTTGTAATGCCCATTACCCATGATTCTTTGCAGGTTCATGCATTTTACTGCTATGCATGTGAAAGATATTCTGTATTTGTGTTGTGATTTGTTCATTGGTAAAATATACTTCATAAATATTTATTTTGAATCATTATTAGTAATCGCTTTGACCCAACACAAAGTGATTATGTGGTTCAAAGTGACTTGGAACAAAATGACATGGGATAAATTGGTTTTGGGACATATTGATGAGAATTCTTTAACAGTTTGCTTGGTCTTTGCTATCCAGGCTTATGCTTGTATATATAAAGATGAAAAGATATGTCATATTTATTGGCATTATTTGCCTGCAATAGTACTGTGGAAAATTCCTGCTGAAAAATAATTATAACTGACTCTAATATAATTGTCAAAAATTTCAGTGTTATTTAAAAATGAGTAGATATAATGGGTTAATTGGTTTGTGTGATTATTACCAACAGAGAAGTAAGCTGATACTAAAACGGGCTGCGTTAAGACCTTGTAGACCAACAGTTAGATTAGAAAAAGAAGAAAGGCTGGTTCATGGAGGAAAAGTAATGAAGGTACATGAATAAATTGGTGTCCAGATTAATCTTAGAAAATCAATGGACGTTTGGAAAAGGGTTTTAAATCAAGACTCTTACTGGTAGTTTGTGTTCCATTCATCCATTCTGTTCTCAGACATGCTTTTACCGATCACACTCAAACTTAACACACAGACCATGTATGATGACTTACATTTGATTAAGTATGACCGACTGGCAGCCATATTTGATCTTCAAAATTGCTAAATTCTGATACTTGAATGTGTCTAGGGCCGTACCTCAGAGATGAACAAAGCGATTTCATTCAAAGTTTATCTCATGGTCATGTATATTGGGTGCATTTTATATTTTTCAGGATCTTGATAAAATGTTCATGCCGATTCCTCACTAATATATTGCCTGATTCAGTTGAAAGGTTATATACTACACTTTTAGGGAAATGTTGGCTGTGTTATTTTGTGACTTGATCAAATTTGTCAAATTCACGGCAATTTTGTCCAATTAATGTACCTGAAATCACAGTTTATAAACATGTCCAGAACCGTATCTTGGAAATATACAAGGTGATTTCTTGCAAGCTTTGTATCAGAATCATACATACTGGGTTACTGGCGCACATCATTTTAACAACTGTTTTTTTTTTCTGAGATGGCGTGCATGTTTTCATTCAAACCCAGTACGATGATTCTACCGGTACATACTGGATTTTGTTTGCACATTACATTTCTTTGTGGTTCAACCAAATATGCTCAGTATATTGCCAGCAACAACTGATTACATCACAGCACTATTTAGCCAAATGTACACCCACAATTCTAGATTGCTACTAGTGAAAGAATTTTGCATTAAACACAAGAAGAGAACTTACCCCAGTAGCATTATCATAACAGCTGAGACACTTAGATTGTTGCAGACGATAAAAAAAAATGAATGACGCTTTCTCTGCTGGAAGCTAATTTTAATTTTAACTCAGAAAAGTTTTCCCTTTTTTACTCACTTACTATTTTTATTGTCCTCGTCCGGAGTAACAAAACAATTATTGTCCATGGCTCCGGTCGATAACAGCCACTTGGGGATGATAATTCTTGATATTGGTCTCACCACTGTATAATATTAAAGCGGGAAGGTCGTCACCTGTGCAGCGCAGGAATTGAGTCTCAAGCGTTGTAACAACACACGCTAAGAATGCAAAGGCTCATGGGTAGACACTTGTTTGTAAACAATGACACGATATGACCTTCTGACGCATGTGTAGGTAACGACTCCCCCGCTTTAAACTAATGTGTTTGATTAATTCGCAGGTTGTGCATAACTATGGTCATGGAGGGGGTGGTATCTCTCTGCATTGGGGATGTGCGCAGCATGCAACTCAACTGGTGAAAGAATACCTACAGGAGAAACCTGCAATTTCAAGTCGACTTTGATAGACAACATACGAAATGAAAATACAAATAGCTAATGAAAACTGTGCAATAATTATAATTTTTTCTGTGTAAATTTAATATAACTCATCAGTTCATTTATTCTGGATCTGTAGTTATTTGAAGACTCAAATGATTTGCCCTTTTCAATATCATGGTTCATACTACTAATTTCCCTACCCCTAAAGTGCCTGTGAAATGGCTGCTATTATCTCGCCTAAAATCATTCATTGGTACATCAATATTATTAATTTTTATGTTTCTAAGCATAAAATATTGTTTTAAAGTGAAAAAATGCATTTCAAACTCGGGTGGATGTGGCTG